CCTTGGAAGCCTGTGGGGCAGTTCTACTCTGTCCTGTAGTGGTGCTCTGAGTCAGAATCGATGGATTCTATGGCGTTTTTATTTGCTTGCTTGCCTTTGTTCTATATTCCTGGAACATTTAAAAAAGGGTTCTGGAATTCATTTTTTTAAAAATATCATTCATTTAAAAGAAAGACATTTATCCAGGTTAATAAAGGTGATGACTCTTAGGGGCTCATGGTCCCTGATGTAGACAGTGCTAACCACTGGCTCCCACCTGAGCATTTGCATCTCACAAGGCACTTCGGAAAACAGGCCAAGCCACAGCAATTTAAGAAGACTCATTTTTCCTTCACTTTCTGCTGTTGTGCCTTCTTTCTCCTATAGGAAGAAGCATCCTGTAATCGCTAAACGCATGGCTTTTAGAGTCAACCCATTCTGTCACTCACCCACGTTGTGATTTTGGACTCCCAGACTCCGTTTCCCTACCTTAAAAAGTGGGGCAGCTAATTTTGACTTATCTAGTCATGTGGTGCTGCCCGGTAGAGACTGGACTGCTAACCACACGATTGACAATTCAAACCCACTGGCTGCTCAGAACCAGTCAGTGGGAACTGACCACCTCATGACTGCACCACCCAAAGCAAAAGCTAACCCACTGCCGCCGAACTGACTGGAACTCGTGGGGAGCCGATGTCAGGGTGTCGAGACTATAAATCCTTACAGGAGCAGATTCGTGGTGGGCTTGAACTGCTGGCCTTCCAGTTAACCACCCCAAACCTCAATCCACAGCACTGCGGTGGAGGCGGGGAGCAGGCCATAGTGTTTGCTCTGCTGAAGATGAACTCAAAGACGTTCTGAAGTTGCTATCGCTGTGAGCACTGCCTTACACTTTGTTTCAAAAAGTTGAAGTAAAGGGCTGATACACATTGTAAAATGCGTATCCGAGGTAAAAAGGACAAATATGGCAGTTATGCTGATGCCCAGTTCCGTATCATTCCAGACGGTAGAGGCAGATGCCATATAGGAAACCTTTTAATGTTGCTAGCAGCTGCTATCAGGGTCCGATAAATAGTAGTGTGGCTCAGCCTTTGTGGATTCAAGAGCAAACCCTTATTAAGAGCATCTCCTCTGCATAGCATGGTGACCGGCACCAGAGATACATAGCTCAGTGCCCAGACAGTGAGCAGATAATACCACGTCTGTAGTAACTGCCAGGTGGGCTGTTCTTGGAAACCACAGTGGACGTCAGTGCCCTGCCACCTCTTGACAAACAACTCGTCTCCTTGCCGGCACAGCCAGGCTCCTTGGAAGAGAGATTACACTCCTTCTCACCCTGTCCTCACCTGCTTGCTGCTCCTTCCATGTGGCAGCCCCCAC